TTCTCTCTCCTGCCCCTCCTCATTGAGCATTCTCTCTCTCTCTCTCTCTCTCTCAAATTAAAAAAAAAAAAAGAGTTCTTAAGTTTAATATCATTTGAAAAAAGTTTTACCCAGAGTTTTAGTTTTTATTGCTGTCGGGCAGGCTTGCTGGACTAACCTCACTCACAGAATGAGGAAGGTGATTATCTTTCTTATTTGGCTTCCCAAGTGTAGTGGGTGCCAGCTGTGCCAGGCCCTGCTCTGGCTCAGTGCAGCCACAGATGATCCTGTCTGGTGTGAATTCTGCTCTCAAAGGGCCACAGCTGCAGGGAGGAGGATAGGCAGGGAACAGTCGCACTGGAGTACGATTAGCATCCCAGGTTTTACCAGATGTTGGTGGTGGGGGGCAGACAGTAGAGGAGAGGGATCTCCCGTCTTCCTGGGACTTCGAGAAGGTTTCCATGGTAAAGGTAGAGGGAATAGCCCGGGAGCTTATCTAGTGAACATTTCCTCTCTTAGGAGCTACAAGACAATGCACAGGTAATTTTGGTAACTCGAGGATAAAGGAAATGTTGAACTCATCAAATTTGGCTGAAATCCGTGAAACATCTGTGTCGTCGTCTTTCAGAGTAAAGGAGATGCATTGTTTTAAGTGGGGTGTAGTAAAGGAGATGCATTGTTTTAAGTGGGGCGGGGAGATTCTTTATTATCATCCCCTGACTCATGCTTTGGGGATCTAGGATTTGAGGCTGTGCTTAGAATAGGTGGGTCAGCGCTGAGTACTACCTTCACGGAGTTTCCCTTTGGCCTGCTCTCGACCTGGTGCCCCTGGTTGTGCCGTCCCCAGGAGGGAAGCAGTGGGATTTCAGTGCCCTTGCCCTGTGCACCCCGGCCCCAGAAACCAAAAATGTAACCATCTCTTCAGTTTTTCTTCTTGGCCTGCATAACTAACACTTTATTGTTCTTTGTAAATCCTGGGGAGATTGTTTTTTTCTTGTTGATAGTGTTTGCTTTTTATGGTTAATTTTCTGATTTTTTTTCCTGCCATTTTCTGCTATAATATCCAACTCTGAAAATGATCACAGCGATAATAATAGTCAACATTTATTAGATGCTTGTGGTGGGGGGCCAGCCTCCAGCCTCAGGCCTGCAGACATCCCTCCATGAGCAGGCTCCTTGGGAAGGTCACAGGCTGCACGAAGAGGGAGGCTTCTCTAGGAGGGAGGAGGGAAGTCGGGGTGACACCCCACAGGAGGGACTTCTGAGGATGACAGGAACAAATGTGAATGTACAACTTGATTAAGTACAGCAGTCGTGAGGCCTGATGTGTTTTATTTCTCACAACAGACTCGTACTCTCTCTTTCTTGGCATCTCATTTAAACTGTCAGGTAGGCAAGGGAAGTTTGTTTTCCCATTTCACAGATGTGGAATCAAAAGCAAGGGGCATCCCCACTGATTCATGGTGGAGTCAACACCCTCCATAACTTGCAGGGTAGTAATTCTAAGTGTGAAGACACCCGGTGGAGACAGGTGTCTCCTAAAGCCACCTTGCTGGCATGTCCCACAGTGATGTGGTGGCTGTCTCTTGCTGTCTTAAGCCCCAGCAGTCCCTGCCCAGGAACTGGCCACATTTCTCCCAGCCCACCGTGGTGCCTCTCAGTTTTAGAAACTGGTGGTTAGATCTGGGCTGGTGGTTAGAGCTGGGCTGCATTATGTCCAGGAAATCCAAGAATACCATGCTGTGCCTCTCCTGATGGAGCACCCAGGGGAGATAGTTGTTTAGGAAATATTAGCAAACAGGAGATCAGATCATCTCTTTATTGCTGACTGGGCCTGGATCCCAAAATCCAGTGCCAGCCAACCAGTCAGGCTGGGAAACTGTGACACTCTTGGTGACTTCCTTAACCGCTGTGCACCACAGTCTCCTCATCTGTAAGATGGAGATAACATTCATATGTATCATAGTAGGTGGTTGTGAGACTTACAGGAGTTATTCCACATAAAACACCTGAGAACCACCTGGCCTCTGTCCCCCTCAGCGTATGTTAACTAAAACAGTCATAAATGTCATGTTTGATTGCATTTCTTAAGAACTCCAGGGTAACACTGAAAAGCAGGTGTGCCTCGTAGGTGATTTGTTTTATTTTTTTGGCCACAGTAAGAACTTGGGATGTTTTGTTTCATGTGACCTCTGCTCTTGTAGCTGCTTGTGTCTTCCTCCTGACTTTTGGGCAGATTCTGACCTGAAAACTCTCAATAAGTAACTTCTCTTTGAAGATCTAAGGTCATGCTATCCGCAAGCATCTGACTTAGACACCAAGGTTTCTGATTTAGTTTGCCTAGATAGCATCGCATCTCTGCAGTTGACATCTGTGCCCCCAAACTTGTGTGGATTCAGAGAATCATAGATATCTCTCTCTCTCTCTCTCTCTCTCTCTCTCTCTTTCTCATCACTGTATGCCCAGGGTGAGAGCACTGTTTTGGCAGTAGGATGGTGGTAGGTGCATGCTTCATAAATGCATCCCAAGACTTGGTAATATCAATAATGCAGCCAGACTTTGGCCAGTGGCGTAGAGATGGCATCTGCTCTCTCCTTTGCCTCTGTCCCCAGCCCTGTGATGGCCCCAGCAAAATTCCCTGCTCAAAGGTGGCGGCACTTCCTCACAGGTCTGAGCTTGTTTTGTTGGAAAGACCCACATGTGGCTCGGTGAGCACAGTTAGTTACAGGGAGAAGATCCTAAACAAGCCCGGTGGTGAGAGATTTCTCCAAGAGATCACACTGAGCCCGAGGCAGGGTTGTGTGTCTCTCTGAACCCTGGTTATAGGGACCCTGCTGCTGCTGTGACCCCCCTGCATCTACCGAAGGCTATGATCACGGGCTGTCCAAGGCTGTAGGAGAACATGTCCTCATGAAGTGAAGATTGGGCAATCTTTGAAAATGTCTCTTCCAGCTTTAAGAATTAAAGATTTGGGTAGAAACGGGTGGTCAGTCTGTCACAGTTGGACTCACTTGTACATTTTTTTTTTTTTGTCCATCTTACGTTTTAGCAGTTTTTCTCATCATTAGCAATTCTCCCGAGGAGCGGGCATGGGAATACAAGAGTTGAAACTTCTCAGGAGGCCATTAATCTGCGCGGTCCCAGGGAAGGTGAGATTGGCTGTAGAGGACCATATCTCACTGTGGTTGCCCTCCCCCCCTCCCGCCTCTCATGCCCACCGACTACTCAGTGCTGGCATTGGAACATTTTCAATGGTCCTTTTTGATTTCCTTTGTAAATGGTAATGTTCCAAAAATAATTTCATAATATTTGCCTAATTAGGAGATAAAAGCACTTGAAAATGTTTTAGCTTCTATTTTGACTTTGCAAATAATCACATATGACCTCTTGTTCTCTGCTCAGTACATAGATGAGAGAGAGCCCAGCTACTTTTTGCCTTTGTTCCAAGTCCTCTTGTTTAATAAATCCTTGTGGGCTGAGCCACAGGGTTCTCTTACACGGAGGGCCACGCATAGCGCATGTAGTGTGTCACAGAGCGTCCCATGACCAGAGGGTGGCCTGTGTACGGTGGAGTCTGTGGGGAACGTTTCAGGCCTTCTCACTGGATTGACTTCCTTGTGTCTGTCTGAGAACAGCCCTCCTGGGAGTAACGTCATTTCCTTTATAGGCCAGGCTGGCACCTTTCTGTGTGTTGGTGTGACAGAGAGGGAGCCAGGTGAATTCTGGAGAGGTTTCTGAGGAAGCCTGGACACGACTCATTAATTAGTTGAATAGTAAGAGGAGAAGTCTGGGATGATGTTTCAGGTTTCCTGCCTTTGGGTCATGAACTGATTTTGCAGGAAAATAGTGAGTCTGAAATTGTGTACGTGTATCTCAAGGTGCCTACGGAGCATCCCTGTAGAGGTACCTGGAAGACAGTTGAAAATTCCTATTTGTGGTTTGGGAGAGGTTACAACTGGATATATATCAAGCTGTCAAAATGATCCTTGGAACCACAGCAGCACAACATACAGGCCTGAGGACAGAACCTTGGAGAAGGCCAGCATTTCCTGTTGTCCCATCTGAATCCCCTGTACTGTTCCCAGAGGTGCTACCACCATGGGCGGCTCCATTGCTCCATTGCTGCAGGCCAGCAGGCAAGCTGCTCATGTTCCCCCACAGGGGCCCTGACTGCACCCCTGGGGTTCGTGTAGCACCCTGCTGGACAGTTGTAGAGCACATGGTTTGGAGGGATACTGATGCTGTCCTGACTGGGAGTCAGGGTGTGGGACGTGACAGTGATCCAGATGGCCATCCATCCCTCACCTGATGGCCAGGTCTCACTGGGTCCCCCAGGAGCCTCAGCAGGCACCCTTTGTTCCCTACCACTCATTCTCAGCCCTCCAAAGCAATGCATGGTGGCAACAAGGCTGTGTAACCCATTGCATCCTTATCTTGAAAGTGCTTGTCCTGCACAGGTAAGGGGTTGGAAATAGATTTACCAGGTGAATTTCCCTACTGGAGAGCAGCAGTGGGTGGATGCTTGTGTATATGCACATGCTTGCAGGCAAATACTGTGGAAGAAATGGTTTTGTTAAAGAAGCAAGCACCTCAGGGGATTAATTGTGAAGGGAGCTACTTTGAAAGACATTCGCTTAAGCAAAAGAAAAAGGAAAATGAGAAGTTACCGTATTGCTTTTGTGTTATATTTTCTTGCACAAGAACTGTACATTCTGGAGCAGACACATAAGAATAAGAAATGAAAGCAGCCCAACTGAGCAGAGGCCCTTCCTATGCTGGGGGCACCTCGCGCGGTCACTTGGGTGCTCCCCGCAGAGGCAGGACTCAGCATCCCAAGGTTACATTCACCCCCGTTCCCCTCTGGAGCGCATCCCCCAGGGGGCAGCCTGCTCATCACAGGCTTTGGGGATGTAAGTCGCCCCCCGGGTGGGAGAGCAGTGGAGGAGGATGTCGGGGTGAGTGGCACCTCGTCTGCTTCCTGGGGGCTCCCCTTCCCTAACCCCTCTGCCTTGTCCCTGCAGCCTTTCCGCTGTGCCCACTGCCATTACTCCTGTAACATATCCGGCTCTCTGAAGCGGCACTACAACAGGAAGCACCCCAACGAGGAGTATGCCAACGTGGGCACCGGGGAGTTGGCAGCCGACGCGCTCATCCAGCAAGGTAGGCGGTGTGCCCCTTGGCGGGGCTGGGATGTCTTCCACGGCCCAGTCCCGAGGCCTGGGCATTTGGTTCATTCTCCGTCATCATCACTGGCAGTGTATCGGCATTACATCTGAAATATGGAAAGTCATCATTTACCCACAGATTTTGCCACCGCCCCCCCAACGTCCAGCATTGCCTTCTGTTCTTTGTCTCTCTCTACCTTTCCTTCACATGTGAAAGTTCATGGCTAACATGAACATTCTATTTTCTTTTAGCACGGTCTCCCTCATAACTCCCCGGGGCTTTTTGTGATCTAGCCCCAGGTGGCAGTACCCCATTTTAGTTAGCCACCTCCTTGTTGGACATCGCCCGGTTTCCAGAGTGTTCTTTTATTGCAACTACTATAAATAATGTTACGGTAAATGTATTTATAGGTGAGCTTCTTTCAGTGATCCAAAAATATTTATAGAATGCTCAGATTACTTACTCATCCTGAAAAGGATAAACCATTTAGAACATTTAAACTGAAGAGAATGGATGAGGGGCACCTGGGTGGCTCAGTCAGTTGGGCATCTGACTCCTTGATTTCAGCTCAGGTCATGATCTCAGGGTCATAAGGTCAAACCCCACGTGGGGCCTGTGCTGAGCATGGAGCTGGCTTAAGAGTCTCTCTCTCTAGGGGATCCCCGGGTGACCCAGCGGTTTAGTGCCTGCCTTCGGCCCAGGGCATGATCCTGGAGTCCCAGGATCCAGTCCCACGTCGGACTCCCTGCATGGAGCCTGCTTCTCCCTCTGCCTGTGTCTCTGCCTCTCTCTCTCTCTCTCTCTCTCTGTATCTCTCATGAATAAATAAATAAAATATTAAAAATAAAAAAGTCTCTCTCTCTCTCCTTCTGCCCCTTCCCCTTCTCTCTCAAAAAATGGATGAAAGCTGCTAATATTTTTGAAATGTACGAGAGATATTTTTTGCTGCTTTTTTCAGTAAATGATTACATATTCCCATTTGAGAAGGTTTAGCTCATGTGCTGTTGCCAGAGAAGTGCCGTTGTATTTATATCTACGTTTCACTAAAAAAACGACAGCCGCATACAGTACAGCAGTTTTTACTACTTCCTGAGTGCTGTGACTCTTTGAAACCAAAGACGGTTTTAGAAATCTGCCCCCACTAAGCATGGATGTGGGCCGGTTACTCTGCAGCAGCTGTGGGCGCTCTCAGTTTCCTGGTGGAACACGAGGCTCTGCTCGCTGGAATCGCCATGAAATACATCTTAATATAAAACAAATGAATTGATTGAATCCTTCAGCACTTTGGGTGACAGGGCTGATGTATGGAAACAGATAACAGCCTAAAAACTCAGGGTGATTTTAGAGCCATTCCTCTGGGGTAGCCAGGGGGCGTGTGCCTTGTGTTTTAATGACCGTTTCGTGGAGCTGCAGACCCGGATGGTGCCGTGGGGGCCTCCGGCTTGCACACGTGCCCCCCTCCTTTAGCTGTGTATTTGGGCAAGTTCCACAGCCTCTCCAGCTCAGGGCCCTCACCTAAGAACAGAGCTGCTAGCCGTCACCTCATGTGATGGCAGATGGGGTCAAAGGAGAGACCACCGAGTGGCACTCAAAACTTTTTCATTCTTTTTTTTTTTTTTTTCCCCCTCCTGAAAACATCTAAGATCTCTAGAGCCATTGCATCATCTTTGATGACCCCCATCAGGAACCACAGAGGAGAGAACGGATTGCCTTAGAGTCACAGTAGATTGCTAGAGAAGCAGCCTAGACATTCCTTTTAACATTCTTCACACTGTCAGGTTGGATTGGCAGGAAATAGACCTCTACTGTGGCTGTTGGGACAGATGTGGGGCTGATGGATGGTCTTAGCACTGCTCTCCGCTTGCAAACTTTCATCATTGCCTCGCAGAGAATGTGCTGGTGCCAAACTGTTGCCTGCCCTATGTTTTCTTTTAGCCTCCTAAGACGGTCATCAGCTGGCATTCCCTGGCAGGGCCTGGCTTTCAATTTTCCTCTCTGCAGGGGTATTTCTAATCTTCTTTCTTCTGTGTGTGTGTGTGTGTGTGTGTGTGTGTATACACACCTGTATATATTTCCAGAGCCCCCTCCAAGGGACATACTGAGTAAGGAAGCAACATGTCTCTTGGCTCATAAGAGACCTTGTGCCATCGTGTTGTGGTGAGAGAACAGTGTCTGAAATCAGGTAGCTGGTTGGGTGTGAACACAGCTCAGCAATCCCAACAGTACGAAGCTCACACTGGTCCTCTGTCTGGGAGAAGGAAGGAGGATGGAGGCAAAAAAAATGAGATGGATACAGTCCCTATGTTTGGAATGCTGGGTCCTCGGGAGCCAGTGGATTTCTTTCTTTTGATTATTTCAAGTGATTCCCCCCCGCCCCCCACCGTTGGTTTTGTGTTTCTCTTCTACACACTCATCAAAAAATATCTTCATGGAAATTTATAATTTCTGGTTTGATATAGAGGAATATGTGTTAGAATAACATAATAACAAGCCATGAACGAAATGTAGGTCTTGTCCACAAATGCTGCTACAGCTTCCCTACACCGAGTGCACGGGCTCCTTGTCCATCAGCCGTGTGTAAGTGGCATCGTGCCAGGACACAGGCAGAGCCATCAGTTGTGGACAGAGGTTCTCCTGTCCTCAGCGCTCAGGGATATGGGAGGGATGTCTGCGTAGGGAAGGGGCGTGCAGGAAGTAGGGAAGGGGGCCTAAAGAGCCGAGATGTTTCTGTTCCTTGTCAGTTTCTGGGGGAAGGTACCCTGGTGGCCTCCATGGAGTTCGGGTTATTTTCAGTAGACTTCAGAAACCTCCTGGGATGGCAGCTGCTCAGGGCACCCGCTGGAAGTGTTTGTAAATGTTGACCTCCCAGGGCCAGGGAGAGGGGAACATGATTGGCAGCATTTGCCAATGTCTGTGTGTGCATCTCTCTCCTGTGGCCAGTTTTCAGCTACTAGTGTGCTGGGGACTGGAAGCGGCGTGCACAGCCAGCTTGTAAGCAGGTTAAAGCCAGCTCCAGCCCACCCCTGGTCCTCAGGGCACTGGGGTGACGCTGTCAGCAATGTGTCTGCTGGGCCCCTTCCAGATGCACCAGTTCTCTGAGAACTCTGGTGCTTTTTGGTAATTAGACTTGTGCTGAATGCTATGTAAATGTTTTATTCCCTGTGTATATTTGATGTCCTTCTGATCATTTGAAAGCAGATTAGACAATCTCTTGCTAATTTTCTTAGCCCATTACTTGTTCATTAATATGGATTGGAGACATTTTCCCGCACAAACACACATTTTCATGTCGGATTGCTGCAGCGGGCCTGCCCATTTTTCCTCTTGAAATATGCCTGATTAAGCTAGCTCAAGAGCCAGTTCCCTAGATCACAGGTTGAGAGGCATGAGATCTTTTGGCACTAAGCTTCACAAATCATTAGCTCGTTCCTGAGCTCACAGCAGGATAGAGATGGGACTTCGCAGGCTGCTCATTTTCCAGTGACCTCAAAGTGGTCCTGCAAGTCACTCCAGATTATTGGCGTGAGCACACGGACAGGAGTCAGATGGACCTGGTGCCGGGATGTCTCAGCACAGTGGCCCTGGGATGACTTACTTAACTTCTCTGAACGTTGGTGTTACACATCTTCAAAGAGGAGGGGCTCACACTTGCCCAACAGCTCTGGAGATTAGTTATGATTCTCTAGGGTCCCAGATTGTGCTCAACACGTAGCACTTCATAAATGACTCATTTACCATCACATGTATTCCCACATTTCCTCTTCACCGTGTATCTCTTGAGCTCCTCGCGTGCCCAGCATTGTGCAGGACACTGGGATATGGTGGCATTTATCACTGGTACTATGTGGGCTAGGGACGAGGCCTGGGAAGCTCCTCCAAAGCTCCATATTCTGACTCTAACAAGACGTGTGCGTTCCTCCCGACAGTCCCCACTTTGCTCACAGGAGGAGAATTCGCAGCTTCTCCTTAGTGCTGACCCTTCTCCCAGGCCCCATTGTTAGAGGGCCCTTGAGGCAGGAGTAGTGGTTGGGATGGGAAGCAGTGAGAAGAGCAGGCTTCGTTTGTGGCATCTGCTAAAATCTTGGCGTTGTTTTGCACTACTACATGGGAAGAATGTAAATGTGTGCACGGGTGCACCTTGGATGCATTTCCATATCTTAGTTTTTCACACCAAATTCAGGGAAAATAGCATAGAAGAAAATCCAGAAACTTTCCAGTAACACAAAAGTCATTTATTTGATTCTGGGACATTTGAATTTTCAAATTGTTCTTATTAGGGTCCATATTCCATACATTACTGGCAGATGGTGCCAGTAACGTGAAGTCATCACGCATGTTGTTGGTTGTTACGTTATGTGTTAATTTGTCTCTCACAGAGGCCCTGTGAGGTCGGCATCATGGTTCTTGTGTTAAAGTGGGGAGAGATGATCAGCCCAGGCAGCAGTGAGAGCAGGTGCTGAGCCACACCCAGCTCTGGATTTAGAGTCTGGATTCCTACTGCTGCTGGGCTGACGCCCCTTGACATTGGTCTCAAGCTTGCACTTGCTAAAGAGGAGGAAGAGGAGGAAGCAGTATGGTCCTCTTCTGGGGCAGCAGTTGGTTTGCATTTGCTGGTGGTCACGTGATGCTGTGTCAAAAGGTCACACACACAGGGTGCTGTTGACTTTTTCTTATTTCTTTGTCTCCTGGTCTAGTTGCTCATCTGACCCAAGGCTAACTCTGGGACCTGCCCCGCTTCAGTGCTTCCCTGTGGTTGTCCAGAGGATGCCAGATGCCAAGATTTTGGGGAGTGTATGAAGGGAGCAGGAGGATGGTGGAGACTTGCCCAAGCTCTTGCTTCCCAGGTGGTCCTCTTGGAGGGTTGGGATGCCAACCTGGCTAATAAGAAAATGCACTTCATTTCTCTTTTGCTCTTTTTCCTTACACTGTTTTTCTGGGAAGCAGGGCAGGGGTTTAAGAGAGATTCAGATACTGTCTGACAGCGTGCAGTGCCCCTCTACCTGCTGCTTGCATGGGATTCAGATTACGATCCCGAGCGCATTTCCTGGTTCTGAGTTGGGGCTCTGCTTGCGTCCCGAACAGGCACTGAATTAAGAAGTGAGAATGTTCACAAAGTCCAGTTCCACATTTTCCTGGTTAGTATTGTCTCTCAATTGCTCTGTATCCACTTCCCTTTGATCATTGAGGCCATTTGTTCCAGTTACTGTTTAGTGCCTGTCTTAGCCTCTCACTGCAGCTGTAACAAATTACCTCAGACTTGGTGGTGCTTTTAAAATGACACAAATTCATTATCTTACGGTTCTGAAGGTCAGACGTCCAAGGTAGGCCTCACAGGCTAAAGTTAAGTTTGCTAGCAAGTCTGAATTTCCGAAGTCTCCAGGGACAGTGGGTTCTCCTGCCTTGCCCAGCTTCCCGAGGCTGCCCACACACCGTGCCTGGAGCCCCTCCTACCTGTCCTCCTGGCCAGCAGAGGCTGTAGAGGCTTCCTCCTGTTGCTACTCCATGACCTCCCCTCTCCCTCCTCTTTGTAAGGACCCTTGTGATTACCTTAGTCCTGCCTGGATAATCCAGAGTAATCTCCCCGTCTCAAGATCCTCGATGAATCACAACTGCAAAGTCCCATCTTGCCATGCGAGGTAACACTCCCATGTGGCAGGAATAAGGATGTGAATATCCTTTATCCCCCTTTTTCTATGTTTATTTATTTTCCATTATAATAAAAACCTCACATACTGTCTTTGTTGTTTATCCATGCACATTACATTCCAGACAGCCGGCTCCTGGGGGCCAGGATCCCCACCTATTTAATGTAGGGTCACAGTGACGATAGAGCCCAGTCTCTTTACAAGTAGGTCTCCACAGATTTTTTTTTTTTTTCAGTGTTACCTGGGCATCATTCACAAAGCTGTAAGATCTTTAGGATTCTCCTCCTCTCGTCAGCTAACACATTTGTCACCTCACACGTTAATCCTTTCACTGTTTTTGAAACAGTGAAACTTGTTTAAGTTCTACTCTCCTAGCAAACTTCAATTATCAATGATTGTCACCATGTTTCCCGTTAGACCCTCCGACCATATTCATTCTATAACCACAAGTGTGTATTCTTTACAAACTCTTCCTGTTTCCTGTCCCCCAGTTCCTGGCAACCATTTGTCTACTCTGTTTCTAGGAGTTTGACTTTTTTTTTTTTTTGGATTCCCCATATAAGAGATACCATGCACTTACTTGTCTTCTCTGCCTGACTTACTTCACTTAGCATAATGCCATCTAGTTCCATCCGTGTTGTTGAAAATGGCAGGATTCCCTTCCTTCTTGTGGTTCACTAATATTCCTGTGTGTGTACACACACCACGTCTCTTCTTTATCCATTCATCTATTGGTAGACACTTAGGTTGTTTCCCTGTCGTGGCAGTTGTGAATCACACTGCAATGAACATAGGAGTACAGATGCTGCTTTGGAATTCTGTTTTTTCATTTTCATTCGATGTCAACCCAACAGGGCTGATGGCTATATCATATGATGGGTGTAATTTTAATTTTTTGAGGAACCTCCGTACCAGTTTCCATAGTGGCTGCACCAGTTTACATTCCCATCAATAGTGCATGAGGTTCCCTCTTCTCCACGATGTGTGGAGGTCCATTATTCTGCCTATTGGAGTGCCCTCCTCCTTTTTTTTAAGATTTTACTTATTTATTTGACAGAGAGAGAGAGAGAGAGAGAGAGGGGACAGACAAGGGGAACAGCAGAGGGAGAGGGGAGAAACAGGCTCCCCACTGAGCAGGGAACCCAATGTAGGGCTTGATCTCAGGACCCTGGGATTATGATCTGAACCAAGAGCAGATGCTTAACCAACTGAATCACTCAGGTGCCCCTGGAGAGTGCCTTTTTTTAAAGACACAAGCTTTAACATTTCACTTTAGAGAAAACAGACTTTAGAGTTTTAGGAAATGGCTCCTGGGTCATATGAGCAAGTGCCAGATTCAGGTATCTGATTGCCCAACCCAGTGTTCTATGTCACTCCAGGACTTACCAGTATTGGAAATGAAATTGAATTTTTAATAAGGTCACCACCACAAAGGAGCAAAGATATTTTAATGCCTAAAATTCTTCCAGAACACATTGCGTTCCAAAAAGAGCAAAAGGTGCCATAATCGATTTTTAAAATTGTTCCTAAAGTTCTGTGTTTTTGCCTGGTTCATCATGCCTTCTGAGGAAACTGATTTGGGGGTTTGTGGTTTTTATGGTGTGTACTTTATATCAGTGCTGCAAGTAAGTGCACCAAGTCTTCCCATGACCTTTATTGTTCATTGCCTAAGAATGTAATGAATTGAACTAGAAATTAATTTCTCTCAGCTTTGATGTCAATTAAGTGGCATAGTTCTGCATTTAGTCTCGACTATATATTTCCAAAGTGGTGTTCCTTAATTAAAGGCAATGTGTCAAAGGTTGAAGTTTTAATTAATGTGGGGCATTATCATATTAGTTTTAATTTAAACATAATATAAGGATGTTTTCCTCCCTAAATTAGTTTCCGTTAAAGAGTGCCCCAGAAGGAGTGTTTAATTTCATTTAGGTCGCTTTTGTTTGCTGCCTCTTTTTAGTTAGGAGGAGCTACGTCAGTTGAACCAAAGGAGAAGGCAGAGGTTCTCACACCTTAGAGAGTTTTAAAAGATGATCATAGGAAAATACGTTTTAGATGATGGATAAGTGATAACAAGGGAAGCTAAAAACTTAAGTTTAATTATCATCTAGGTGGGAAAGAAGAAGCCCATTTGGTTTGGCTTAAAAAAAGAGCTCAGAGTGTGTAAGTTTCAGAAAATAAGCATCTGTTTGAGCTGCCTCCACTGCGGAATGTTCTAGAAGTTCACAATTCCGTCCCCTGTCTCTGTTGGACCTGCGTGCTACTCTCCTGCACCCTCCCAGCATGGGGAGGCTGTAAAGCAGTAAGCGGAAGGTGCACAGGGATGTACTGCTGGCCTTCTGGATCGGCTTCCTTTTTTGCTCATAACTGTTTGGGGAGCCACTCAGCACCTCGGGTGACAGACAGGAAACCCCAACTACAGAGCAGTGTGCCGACTTGGAACTGATTCAGGAGGGGTCACACACATCACATTTGCATACTTGTTGTGCATCCCCATGAAATTTGCCTGTTTATTATCCAGTTTGTCGAGACAGCCTCATCATCAGCACAGAATTCCTCTCCTCCCTCCTTCGTGCCCCAGTGAGTGAGAAATAAATCTCAGACCCCCCAGGAGGTCGCAGGAGAGCACAGCAGCTCTGACAGAGAAGAGACTCAGGCAGCAGAAAGGCTGGCAGCTGGATCCCCCGCAGCGCCTGGCGTGCAGAGAAGGGGATGAGTGTGGTCAGTGCCAGAGGCGGAGAAAGGAGAGAATAGGGAAAGGGGGTGGGGGGGCGGGGAGACAGGGTCACAGGGGTGACAGTAAGGTCATGCAAACCACAGCAAGGAGCTGGGAGTTTATTCTGGGTCTGATGGGAAGCCATTGGAGGGATGTGAGAGGTGGGGTTTAGTTTGTGTCTTTATTTATTTTTATCGACTTATGTGCCATGAAGGCTCCTTTTCCCTCTGTGCCCTCAGGTGGTTTGAAGTGTCCCGTGTGCAGCTTCGTATATGGCACCAAGTGGGAGTTCAACAGACACTTGAAGAACAAGCATGGCCTGAAGTTGGTGGAGAATGAAGGAGATCCCAAATGGGAGGTAACTTTTTGAGTATGGTATTGATCTTGACATTTCCAGGTACAAATGACAGACCAGGTGGGCCAGGGTCCAGGACACAGACAGTGGTTCCCCAGAGGCTTGGGTTTTCTGGTCCGGAAGCTAGGAAGTCTTTTCAAGGCCTTTCTCCTGTCTGAGGGATGAGACCAGGACCATGCCTGCCAATTCCTACCTTGAGTCAAATTGAGAATGTCTGTATTGGTCTCACCAGCGTTGTCACTTCTGTGATTCCCCAGCCCAGAGTTTCAACTTTTGCCTCTGAGGGAAGGATGCCAGGCAATGAGTATGTTGTGAGTCCTCGCCAGGCGAACTGGGAGGGGCTCCATCTTCTGGTTCTAGGCCCTCCTATCCTGCTGAAGGCACAGGTTCCCACCTTATGGCTGTTTTACCCTTGGGTGTTAGAACCAGTCCCCTGGCTGGAAACACTCGATGTGATCAAAGCCAGTAGCTGTCTATCTTTTCAGGTATCAAGCGTCACCACTATGAACTAACTGCAGGCGGGGTTTCCCAGACTCAGTATTGCTGACATTACAGTGTTCGACATGATAATTGTTTGTTGTAGGCATTATTCTGTGCATTTTTAGTGATGTTTAGGATGTTTAGTAGCATCATTGACCTCCACCCCTCAGCTGCCAGTGGCATCTCCAGTTGTGACAACTGAAAATGTCATGGACATTGCTGATGTCTCTGGGAGTCCAAATCATCCCCAAATGAGAACCTCTTATCCGAGGAGTTTCTGAAGCATCAGAGCATACGGTGATTAAGAGTCAGGGCTTTGAAAAAAATCCAACAGCATGTGGAAAAAGTAAAACATCATGACAGTGTGAGGATAATTCCAGAATGCAGTTCAGTGGGAGGGGATATTTTAGTATAATCCATCATCATAGTAGAACTGGGGAAAAAAATGAAATGATTATCTTCACACGTTCAGAAAAAGGCACTTGACATATTTAAGTGTCTGCTGATCAAACAGTCAGTAAAGTACAGCTGGATGAATATGTCCTTAAGGTAGAAAAACACATCCCTGCGTCTCGGCCCCACCAGCATCTTACTTGGTGACGGAACCCCGGAGGGTGACTTGTTGATCAGCAGCAAGATGAGGTTGCCCCAGGAGCTCTGCTCTTGAACATTGCTTGGGAGGTGTCAGCCAGTGTGTCAGACAAGGCAGAGTAAATAGTGACATTAAGAATTGGAAGGGAAGAAATAAGGTATCTCTCTGAAGATGGCAGGATTCTATTTTTGGAAAATCCAAAAGAAGCAATGAAAAACTGCTAGCGTGATAAGCATCAGGTTGAAACATAAACATAAAATAACAAATAGCTTGTATATATATAGAGAGGCAAGAGCAGAAAAGCTCAGGGATTTAAATGTAAAAACGGTGACATTTCAGTAATACTGGAAGAAAAATCCGAGTGAATGAATTCATTTATAAACTCAGAGTGTGGCGAGCTTGCCTAACTAGGACTGAGAATCCAGATTCAGTAAAGGAGAAAGACTGAGAACAGTTGACTACAAGAAAAAAAAATGTTAAAAGTCTTAATGGAAAAGAACTCATAAACAAGTTAAAGAGACTAATGACAAAAATACTTGTGGTCATACCTTAGAAGAAGGATGAGTCTGTTGACATTACAAAAGTCTTGTAAAAATAGTGATCAACAACCCAGGAAGAAAAGGGGCAAGAAATAAGAAAGGGTCGTAGACAAAGATGACTTTGAATATCTGAGAACATGATCAATCTGACTCGTAGCACATATGAATGGAAACTAGGGAGAGCAAGAGTTTCTTTCCTATTAGAATCCAAAATTTGACATCCTCTCTGTCAGAGAGGCTGAGGGAGAAATACACTCTCATGCATTGGGGGTGGGAATACAGAATGTTATTTCTTCTCTGAAGGGGAATTTAGCAATATCTAATAGAATTTCTTGTGTTTCTTTATCCATTAACTAAACAATCCCACCACTAGAAAAGTACCCTGAGGTAACCCTGACAAAATGAGAAAAGGCGTCTGCACAACATTATTTATGACAGCCCTATTATATGTTACAGGTCTAGATAGAGGAATAGGTGGCATGTGTGTTAATTCGAGACGTGTGCCCGTACACAGTCTGCATACATGTGTGTCTTAGCCTTTTGTGCTGAGAAAGCCCAGAAGTGGTGACACTCAGTGGCAGTGCGCACACCTGGTACCGAGATCTCGATTCCTAATAGGATATTCTCCAATCAAAGGAACGAGGGTCCTTTGAAAAGTGGTTGGTTCCAGTGCTGTGGCAGAAAATATGTAAGATGATCCCTAGGGTATCTTGTGGTCCTAGAAAGTAAGAGCATGCTTGTCCTCCCCACCCCCACCCCCCAAAAAAGATGGAGGCATATCAGAAGGACACAGGAAATAACCCAAAGAGTTCGCAATGGCCAGACCTGGAACATTTTATTTATTTATTTATTTTTAAAAAGATTTTATTTATTTATTCATGAGAGACACACACACACACACAGAGGCAGAGACACAGGCAGAGGGAGCAGGCTTCATGCAGGGAGCCCGAGATGGGACTTGATCCCAGGTCTCCAGGATCAGGCCCTAGGCTGAAGGCGGCGTTAAACGGCTGAGCCACCCGGGCTGCCCAGGGAACATTTTAAATAATAAAATAAATGATGATGGTGTTACACTGAATAAAATAACTATCTGTGAGTCTGTACTGATAGAAACAAATAGTGAGGAACAGTTCTTCCGCCTGGAAGAGTTCTGATGAATACACGTGGGAGGAATGAGAGAAATAGAGAATTAGCATTAGAACACCACAGTAATCATCGCTGCAGGCAAGTCCATCACCCTGCACTGAAATCAGTAGACAGAATGTAAGGAAAAACAGAATATTTACATAACCTCAGAAATCTACCCCCCCACCCACATACTTACTAGATTGCAGAGGGAAAGTAGTAACTGTACAGTGGAGGCACCTGGTGGCCCCCATGCTAAGCATGTGAGCGGAGGTTAGCGTCCTCAGTGATAAGTCACGGTGACCTCATGTGCCCTGGACATGATGAGAAGGGCCTGTTCCCCATGGTATTCTTTGAAAAAGCCTCAACCTCCGTCTAATCACGAGAAGTCGTCAGATGTGTATAAATGATGTGTTGATCTGACCAGAACTCCTCAAGACTGTCCTGCTCACGAAAGACCAGGAAAGCCTGAGGAGCTGTCCCTCCTTGGAGGGGACCATAGAAACTTGGTGACCTAGTGCACTGTGTCTGGCTGGCCCTGGGTCCTGGGATGGAAAAGGGACACCGGGGAGAAAGCTGGGTAAAGTCTGTGGTTAATACATTGTTTCAGTGTTACTTCTAGGCTTTGATAATTGTACTCTGGTCACATCAGATGTTACCATGGGGGGAAGCTGGATGAAGGGTGTATAGGAACTCTCCGTTTTATCTTTGCAACTCTTCCATAAATAAAAAAATCTTTCAAAATAAAATAGTAATTTAAAAAAAAAGAAAGGGGAGCGTTTTATGTGGAGACGTAGGGACACACCAGGACGGAGGGGATAAAGAAATAAGTCAGATTTCTCTTAGCACATCATTGTGCAGATTGGACTCTGAAACCACGGGTATATCTTATATCATACTAGAAAAATTAAAGTCTAAAAAAATGCAAGCCCAAAAAGTTGAGAGGAAAGCAAAATAAATGATTCTAACTGTATATCAAAACGATGGTTTAGATACACAGAGGGACTGTACTCCCTAAATGGGGTGTAAGCTAAGGGCAAAACGAACTGCAAAGATACATCCTGTCTTCAGTTACTCTGCTTTTGGCAAAAGGGTTGGTGCTGTAGCTCTGAGGCTGTGGCTAGTGGGTAGTAATTACAGTGAGGCACACCAGGGATATTTCAGTCCATGGGTTTATACTGACACTAGAGAGGAAACTCAGTTACCTTGGTAGGACATTACTCTGTTTTGGTAAATAAAGGCCAAGAGTCAAATAGTTACGTCAACCTTTTCTAAACAAACTATACCTCAGTATAATGAAGTGTTCAATGAGGAGAAGCTTCTATTTATAGTCGCTTTCCGGCCGACCAATGAAGATGGACAGTATTGCCATTTTGCAGGCCTCTCATGGTGTCACAGGTCCAGCAGTGCCCATCCCTTACCTGCCAACATCACATGTCGCCTGCTGGAAGTAGACCATCTAGCCCGTGAAGAGTTCCTGCCATAAAGGGAACCAGTATCTGGTTGAGCTTCTGCATCTACCAACTTGCAGGAAACACAGTGGACGTAACAGCACATTCAGTGATTGCATGGGGGTGCCATCGGTAAAGTCCAGACTATTGGAACCTCTGCAGAAAAACAGCCCACTTTCCCAACAGAGCAGAAAAATAAGTGGGGGAAAAGGCAGAACAGAGAGAGAACCCATAAATAATAGTTGTATGAGATGTCAGTTCTCATACATGGATTCAGGGACTTAAATTTGAAGAGTCAATTGTGGGAAATAAGATCTTGGAGAGACAAGGACATGGCCTGGATGTGTGGCCACATTAAGGACTTCCTGTTCATTGTTTGATGTCATGGTAGTATTGTGCTTGTGTTTTGAAAGAGTTTTATCTTTTGAAGATACCGTCTAAAATATTTATAGATAAAATGCTATGCCTTCTGCGTTTGCTTCAAAATATTCCAAGGGCAGGGTGTGGAGGGTGTATGGGAGCAGAGGGGAAATAAGACCGGTCGTGGATTGATAATTATTGAAGTTGGTTGATGTGTACATGGAGGGTTCATCCCCCTGTTGTTTTGTGTGTTTGAATTTTTCTATAAGAAAACGTAGGGTTATGTACACTGGAGTTTGATAGACTTGGAGTCCTGGTGCTGTCCCATATAAGTGGCTTGCCCTGGAACCATTATTTAACCTCTGTGGCCTCAGTGCTCTTATCCATACAGTGAGGCTCATGATACCCAAGAGACACAATACACAAACTGCTGAGATCAATATCTAGTCCCTGGTAGGCCTCCAGGACCCCCAGCATTTGGCAGCAACTATGATTATTGGTGGCGGTGGTGGTGTGTGTGTCTCATCCCATCCTCATCTAAGGGAAAACCTGTAGTCCTCTGTTTCAAGTTCAGGCTGCAAGGATTTGCTCTCTGTTAACAAACATGCATTGGAATGCCAGTTCTTGACTTAACACCCCACATCTCTCCAGTAGTTGGTGCTTTTGTAAGGATGTGTGTGGTAACACCCCTCTGCTCTGCAGGCCTTGCTTCTTGCAGATCCCAACATGTCAAGGAGAGCTTCAAACCCAGGGAAAATAATTGACACAAAACCATGAACTTGATTCCAGAAACAAGATGGTGGAGTAGTCAAGAAGCTGGGCTCAGGCGGTTGGTTACCTGTGGGATGACAAGCTGCCTGTTCCACCAGTTTGGGCTGTCATTTGGCTCCCCAGAATGCCTTGCAAAGCCCGTACTTCCCATATGGGATTATGACGCACAGTTCCCCCGGCAAGAAAGAGAAGTGATTCTGTGTACATGGGGTTTCTCACAGGCTAAGACATTCCTTGGGTCTAATCAGTGTTAGGCAGTTTGTGGCTTAATGGTACTTAAAAGGAAGTAGGGTTGTTTTTTTTTTTTTTTGTCCGTTTATACATTTATCACATGTTTATTGGGTGTCCACTATGTGTCAGGCTAGGAATCTTGAAATGCATTTGGCCCCTTGGCTGTAAAAGAAGAATCACAGGGCGTATTGAACTGTGTCTGTTACCAGTAAGTGCTTATGGAGCATAATTTCAACTCCTATAAATTTTGAGTAAAGTCCTCCTTCTTTATTGATGACGTTCTTGTTTCCTGCCTTTGCGCTCAGCTCACCTGCACTCCCTGTCCCTTCCAGAAAGAGGGCATGATTAATGCTGGTTTCTTGTGACGTGCTGAGTTCTGTCCCACGTCTTCTCGCTTTGAGGCACCTGTGAATGTCACTTCAGCCCCTCCTACCCTCACAACTCCTGATTTTGCAGCTCTATTGTTTATCATATCCCTCGTATAAAAATAGGAATGGCTGGGATAGCCAAGGTTTACTGAGCTGTTGCCCAGTGTCAGGACATGTGGTGCCAGCCTTACATGTGCCATGTAGTTGCCTGTCGCACTCTGTTCCACCTGCAGCTCTGCCGGCCTGATGGCACGAGACTCCAGACCCAGGGAAGATTAGGACAGTGCTGGCCCCGGTGGGAGGAGACAGCAGCCATTAGAAGAGCAGATACGAGAATCTCTGCACATGTCTAATCTCTAATTATGAACCACACACTCTCTTCTCTGGGGCAAGAATGTGTGGCAGGAAGCTTTCTACCAAAGCTGGTTTAAAAGTCTTGCTATTTGCAAAGAGAAGTTTCCTTTTTGGAAAGCGTGTTTTGATTGGAGCAGCTGATTTCTGAGGGATGCCAGGTAAATGAGGTGTTGCAAAGGGGTTGCTCGTGTGCATTTCCTTCATCTCGATCCGTTATCCTGGGACTTACGGGTAACAGGTGGTCTTCTAGAAGATCACTGAGATGATCTGTTTTTGTTTAGCCAGCAACAGAAACCCCCGAGGAGCCCTCCACCCAGTATGTGCACATCACAGAAGCCGAAGAGGACGTTCAGGGGACACAGGCAGCCGTGGCCGCGCTCCAGGACCTGAGATACACTTCGGAGAGCGGTGAGAGAGAGAACACGCTCTGTCCCCTCTGACACCTTCCAGTGCCCTTGCAGCTGGTCTTTAGGAGGCAGGCTGAATGAATGGATTTGTGAATGAATGATGGTCCCTGAGTTAGGCTCCATCGGCATCCCTGACCCAGCATTTGGACCGCAGAAGGTGTCACGGTCAGGCGAGGAGCCCTCCACCTCCTGACAGAGGCCTAGGAGGCTCAGCAGAGCAGAGCTTTGCAGCAGTGTGGCCAGGTCTCCACATGTTCTGAAGGGAAGGCTTCCTACTCATCACAGGTGTAGGAGGTGCTTTGCTGGAAGTGCTCAGCAGAGTGCTGGAGCTGGTCCTGTCATCTGCGTTTCTGTCCCCATCCCTGGCTTCCCTGTGGGCATCTCTCTCAGGGCGCTTGTTCCTGCTCCACAGACGGCGCTGCCAAGGCCCAGGGTGAGAACGCAGCTGCTCACCTTGCCCGTGCCACCCTGCAGAGCCTCGAGCCCAGCACTGCCTGTGTCCCAGTCTCTGAAAAGCCCCAAAGCAGATTCTTATATCAGTTGTCATTGTTTTCAAATGTTAGATCGATTTTAAAATCAAACCACTGTGCCACCCCAGCAGTGATTCGGGCCTTATACTTACAGATGTTTTCTTAGCATCCTTTTCAGTACATAGGAGGAGCCCAAGGTAATGTGTGACCACAGCCCGGTTTGTGTTCAGAGGAAGGCATCAGGTAGTGGCAGGAGGTAGGAAATCACCATTTTCACCCACTTCTTAAAGCCCCTAAAGCCCAGGTTGTAAGAAGCTGGTGTAACATACCCCTTGGGGCCAGTTACTTCAGGGCTGGGCTCACTGGGCTGCGGGGTTTGAGGTGGGGGGACTCGGGAGACCAGGGAGACCGTGCTTCCCCGCTGGCACTGGTTAGAGTGACAGGTTCCACAGAGGGGAGTGGGGTGGCCAGGCTGTCTAATGGGGCCCCCAGAACCGAGGCCCTGTCTCAGCCTGTGCTCCCCTGCTCGTGTTTGGCGGCCTCAGCAACTGGTCATACCCTGTGCCTTCACCCCCCACGTGCACACCTACTCCTCCTGAAGCCGCTCCGGTGTGTCTCCTTGGCTCTTGGGATAAGGCTCAGACTCTGCAGCCCATGGAGCCAGGCCCGCCCACTCTGGGTCCTGGCTCCCTGTGCCACACCCCTGTCCACCCTGCCTCTGAGACTGCTCTTTCCTACAGACTATACAGGTCCTTCCCCCCCCCCCTTTTTTTTTAAAGATTTTAATTTATTTATTCATGAGAGACAGAGAAAGAGAGAGGCAGAAGCTTAGGCAGAGAGAGAGAGAAGCAGGCTCCCTCTGGGGAGCCCGATGTGGGACTCGATCCCAGGACCCTGGGATCACGACCTGAACCAAAGGCAGATGTTCAACCACTGAGCCACTGAGGCACTCTCCAGGCACTCCTTTATCTTCCCTGAACCTGCACTGCTGCATGCGTTCTCTGGGATACACAGTCTGTTCCCTACCCCTGCATGGCTTTTCCAGCCACCTCACCTGTGCCTTCTATGTTCAGATCATGTGTCACCTGCCCGGGACCCAACTGACTTTTCTGCAGCATTACCCTGATTGCTTCCTGATACGGGACCAAGCTGGTGCTGTAATGATTTGCTTACAAATCTGTCTCATGAGTCCCAGAAGGAGGAGGAGGGGAGAGAATGTTAGATGGAGGCACATTTTTGTATTCCTGCTGGGAGCCATGCTCCTGGTGACAGGCTTGATAAATGGCCATTGAGGGAGTAAGTACATGAGGAATTAGACCTTACTTAGCTCAGAAAGTTTTTAAGGTAAATGTTTTGTTTAGTCTTGGATGTTCAGAGTGGTTGACTGCAAGGCACAGTTGACACCCCTCCCTTCAGTAGAAAGAGAGAGAGTGTGTGTGTGTGTGTGTGTGTGTGTGTGTGTGTAGGGGAATGCCAGCGTGGGACATGGAGAATATATGCACGTCACCCACAGCATCATTGCCTTAGACACGTGCCACATTCTATCCTCTACGTGGAACACATCATGCTCCCCTTCCTCGTCTCTTCCTGAATGACTCACATGGGAATGTGGCCCGCGGAAAACCAGTCCACGAGGATGCAAGCATTGGCAGAGCCTTGGTGATCTTATGCTAACACAGAGATCATGCAGTAGTTTGTGTTTTATTGAGTCAATGATCAGGGTCAGAGTGCCGTGTTCGGGAGAGTCACAGATGGTCAAGCAGATGGTGACAGCAGGCAGGGCATACTCAGTAGCTGCCCTGATGATGTGGATCCCAATCTTTTGAGACGATTAAAATAGAATCCCAAGCATAAATTGGTTTGGAATTCTAAAGCCCACTGATATTGGTAATTGAGACATCCCTAGATGTTTTTGTCCGTAACTTGTGTAATTTATCTGGCGCAGTCTCCCTGGCCACCTACTGTGTGTGTGCTCACAGGACATTAACTTTGCAACTGAAAGTGTTGGCTGGTACTTCTCAGGGGTTCTGTCCTGAGAGACAGTCTTGCCGTCACCAAGTTTGGATTCAGAACATCTGGGCTTGAGCTCTGGCTCTGTGCCTTCACTGACCCAGTGACCACAGGAGAGTCTCCTGTCTTTTTTGTGCGGAGGTAAGCAGTCTGTGAAATGGGGCTGATATCATCAGTGTCATCTCTTCACAGGATCATTTGGGGCTTTAAGATATTCTTATAGGAAGTACTTTAAAACCAAAAGGTACCACATGGATTATTCTGTTGTCAAAATGAGCGACTGTGGAGAACCCTTGTTCCCCCTGGAGAGGGAGCCACTCAACAGTGGCCTCTGTTGAGGTCTGCTTTTGCACTATGCCCTCCAGCACCGTGGGCTTAATGATATTCCATTTGTCTCTTCCTTGTAAGGTGACCGACTTGACCCTACAGCTGTGAACATCCTCCAGCAGATCATCGAGCTGGGTACCGAGGCCCATGATGCCACAGCCGTGGCCTCCGTGGTTGCCATGGCTCCAGGGACGGTGACTGTCGTGAAACAGGTAAGGGCCCTCCTGTCCCTCTTTGGTAGCAGCTCTTCACTCTGCTGCACACCTTCTTTCTCTCCTCCTCTGTAGGTTTTCAAGGCTGAGTTTCCCTACAGTAGGATTGAGTGAGAAGGAGATTGGCTTAGGCTCATGCATTTTCTTACTCTGCCTCCAATTATTATGGGAGCGTGGCTTCCGCAGGTCCACAGGCGGTGGTATGTTTTAGGGGAGAGGTATAATATGTTTTTAAAATTCTGGAAACCTTTCATTCACTTCCCTCCAAAGAATCCCAGTGTGAAAATGAGCAGGTGTGGACACACTTGGACACATCTGTTGTGAAAAGCAGTCCTCAGTCCCAAAGACATGGGTGAGCAGAATGGGTGGGAACTGTGGGAGCCGCCAGAGAAGCCGGGAGGGCTTCGCAGTGGACTGGCCCCGTGAAATATGCAGCGTCACCTGGTCGATGACTGAGCCTATGGGAAGCAAATGATCAGTGTTTGAATAAAGGTTATTTGACTGAATTGATAGTTAAACCGTTTGGCTCATTTCCTCCCCTTCTACCCTCAGAGACTTCACCAGCTGTTAAAATGCAGTGTGGTTGGTAATTAGATCATCCTTTTTCTCTGTCTGTACCTCTCTGTCTGCTAATCTCTTACTTTGTTCTACAAAGGCTTTAGGCTGCCTTACACCAATACTTAAAAAGGGGGAACAACGGTAAACATATCAGACTCAAGCAAAGTTCAAGTTCACAGAGAAAGTTGAAATGCAGACCATAGAGTTGTACAGTTACCTGTCTTTGGAGTCATTCATTCAGGAAGTACTTAGCAATCGCCCACACCCGCCAGGCAGTGTTTCTGGGCGTCCAGGAGGGGACCAGCGTCTGCTGTCACCACGGTCACTCTCTTGTGGGAAAAGGGTAAAGCACAAATGAACGAGTGAGACACAAAGGATGTCCAGTGGTGAACAGGTACAGTGAGGGACAGTAAAACAAGGAGAGGGGTGTGGGCCGGGGAGCACGCTTGGGGGGTATTTTATAAAGTGGTGTTGGGGCAGATTGCTGATGTTTGAGCAGAGGCATGTCTTAACGGGAGGTACTTAGGTTCAGCTGTGCATTTGGTACCGGATTTTACAACAGTAAACAGGGACATTTGGAGCCGTGAACTTCATGAGAGGGGTAGGTGTTCTTGGCGCTAACAAGAAGGATATTTCTTAGTGTGGCTCTCACATGGGGACCCGAGTGCTGTGTCCCCAGCAGCATCCCTTGGATGAATCAGAAGGACTTCCCAAGCTGTCTCCACCACTGTCCCCACCCAGGTATGCCCAGGGCACAACACAAGGCCTGCAATCCAGATTAATTAATTCTCTGGGGAATTAGTACATTCTGGTTCAAGTCTGGAGTTCCTGATCCGCAGGCAAGACTCAGCACATGTAGATGATGTTGGGACTGTGTGTCCTAGAAGCACTCCTCCGTTAGTGTGGTTCTCTTGAGAAGAGCCCGGAAAGCAGTGGGACCGGGTGTCTCAGTCTGCAGTGGCCTGCCGATTGGCCGGGAGTAGACTCGGATGCGTCCATGCTAACCACACTTTGGGCTTTCCTTTGTATTTACTAGACTACGGTCTTCCTTGTCTTATTAAATCTCTTCCAAAACAGCTCCTCCACATCGGGACATGTGGGTCCCAAGCCGGACCCGGCTCGTCAGGAAGGGTGTGACTGGGATGGCATCAGGGGAGCTTTTGCACGTTTCATACCTGCCAAATTCTTCCGAGAATTATGGGAAGGTGCCAGCGATTGTGATTTGCCGCTGCTGAGGGACATGATTTATTGAGTATCACAGGCAGTGCAGTGATACATGAGGTTGCCGGTTTGGGATACAGCTTCGATGTGCTTCGAGGCGTTAGGCTGACAGCACGACACGGGAGGAAGCAGATAAGCATCCAGTCTGACCACTGTAAACAGGTACAGTATGCTTGTTGTAGCAGAAAACAGTGGCATCCTGTAGAAAATGTGGTTTATTGAAAACACGGGGCTAGGAGGAGCGTCAGCATTTAACACAGTCTGGAGCCACCACGTTTGGCAATGTTTGCCAGAGCTTGTGTCCTAGTCCTCATCCTGTGTGCCTGGCCCAGCTACCTCGTGCACTGGAGCTGCTGGTACCTGATGGATGGGGGGCGGGTGGGTGGGCGGGTGGCTGGGCCAGGGCTGGGTAGGGGGGTGGGGGGTGCAGGTAGACAGCAAACACCTGCTCCTTTGGCAGAGGGGTTGCAATGTGTGAAAGAATGCCCTCTGAATTCACTTGTCCCGTCATTTAAATATAAAGACAACTGTTTTTATTGGAGAAATTAGTTTTGATTTTTTTTTTCTTTAATTAGAGTCTGGTTTAGGATTTTTCAGCAGAGGGATTACATCTGCTGAATGAGCATGCCTAAGCCACTTGAGTGTGAACTCTAGCGTACCTGCTGGCATCGAATGCCTGCCCTTCCTTCACCGCATGGGGGGCATCTTGGTGCTGGGGGTTTCATCTTGCTCCAACCCAGAACAGCACATGTAGTAGCTGCTCAGTAGACGTTTATTATGTAGGATGGAGTGTGCTGTGGGTTTAGGTTTTGATTCTCTCATTATATCCTGTAAGACCCATACGGGAAAGAAAAATGTGAGGACGTGTTGTCGTAAAGTATGTATTGCAGAAAGCAAGGTTTTCAAATTACTACTAGATAGAATATTTTGAGAACTTTTAAAACTTTCCAGTTTGTACCTATCTTCTGCAAGGCCAAAAACAAATTCTAGGTTGTGTGTGAATCAGTTCTGGATGTTTAAAAGTTTCAAGATTTCTTTCCCGTGTGAAACAATAGCTAATATGCTCCGTTCATGATGTTACTTTTCCCTGATATATAAATGTTAATTGAAAAGGATCTTTTTTTTTTTCTGTATGAAAATTTATCAGTGGTAATTGAAAAGGATCAATTTTCTAGTCTTTCTGGATGTTTCCAGGATGAAACTAATGGCAGGCTGGGTGGGTGGTGTAGGCTGGGGGTGTTTGGAAGCAAAGAGCTGAGAAAAAAACACAGTTTCTTAGGTTGCTTTCTTCTTATTTTTAAATGAGATGTGGAAGAGACTTAGCCCATAATTCAGGCCGTTTAAATTTTCAGTTGGACATAGAACCTGACCTCAATGATTTCCTGTCATGTCACTTTCTCAGGTGTCAGCATTAGAAACAAATTCATGGGGATCGAGCATTTTGGAGATTCAGAAAGACGAGTCCGTACAGGCCCTGCACCAGCTGGGCCCAGAGAAACACACAGGAGCTCTGAGTGCAACTAGTCGTGCATTTGTGAAGACCAGACAGTTTTCATGAAATAAATTGGTTTCTTTTTTTTTTTTAAGTTTATTCATGAGAGACACAGAGAGAGGTGGAAAACATAGGCTCCCTTCGGGGAGCCCGATGTGACTCTTGATCCCAGGATCATGACCTGAGCCAAACGCAGACACTCAACCACTGAGCCACCCAGGCGTCCCTCTTTTCTTTTTGTTAAATCTTACTTTAAGGTTTTATGAGGAGGAAATTTATCTTTGATTAAGAAAATTGCCTTAAGTGGATGAAACGTTAAGACCTACCAGCGCAGGAAAATCATGGGCATCTCTGAGTCAAAGTTAGTTATTTTAAAGGAAAAGAGAGATACAGCCACCACCACCCTCCTGCCTCATGGTTTAAATCGCTCTTTGCTGTTCTTGTGGACGGAAATTTATTTTCGAGACCAACATTTTCTTTACTGGTCCACAGCATCCTCTTAGCAGACTTCTCCCACCCCTCACTGTGTGCCCCCTCCTGGGTGCCGTAGCTCCTCTTTGGCAACTGCAACAAATTCCCGCAGACTTCGTGGCTCAAAACCTCAGAGATTTATTGTCTAATGATTTTGGAGATCAGAAGTCTAGGATGGATTTCACTGGGCTAAAATCAAGGCATCGACAGCTGCATTCTTTCTGAGGATTTCTTTCTCGCCCTTTCCAGCTCCTAGAGACCCCCGGCATCCCCTGGCTCAGATTCCCTAACCCTCCGTCTTCAGGGCCAGCAAGGGAGGGTGAGCACTTCTCACACCTCCGCGCTCTGGCCTCTGCTTCCTCACCTTTTCTCAGGCCGACCCTGCTGTCTCCCTCTCACAAGGACCCTCGTGATTACGTGATGCCCACCTGGATAATCCAGGATAATCTCCCCATCTCAGGATGTGTGATCACATCCACAAAGTCCCCTTTGTCGTGCAAGGTAACATTCTCAAATTCTGGGGATTAGGACACGGACATCTTTGGGGTAGGGGCATTATTCTGCTTGTCACACTGGGTTCTGACGTTAAGACAGGTCCTGCTCCCAAAAGGCAGGTGGCCTGGCAAGGGAAATTACTTACTCTTTTATTCAGCAAACACCCGCTGAGCTGCTTCTATCAGCAAGGTGCTGCTCTTGGCTCTCAGGGTATTTCAGTGAACAGGAAAGGTGGATGGTACACTTGAGGAGCTGACCGCCTTCTAATTGAGGGAGAGAGCTAATCCACGTACATATGATAAATAACAGTGTGTTAGAGGTGAAAGGGGGAAGAAAGAACCAGAAGAACCAGTCAAGACCTTCGGCAGGTGGTAATGTATGCCTTGGGGAGGTGGGCCAGTGCCCTGAGGGTGCTGGGGGAGCACCAGGGGCTCCAAGCCCATCTTGACCCTGGGTCTGGGGTGGGGGCGTGTGTTGGGCAGGTAGGGCTTCATCAGTGGTGCCTGAATGGTGTCCTGGAGGGTAGCTGGGAGATGGATGGGGCAGGGCTCCAAGCAGAGGTGGGAGCAGGAGCTGGTGCATGGGGTTGGGTGACTGAACAGGCAGAGGTGGCCGTTGAGGCCCCATTTCAGTTAAACCTTGGGCCCTGTTGTAACCACCAAGCGGTGACAGGGGAGTCGCAGCCCAGAAGGCTCCTTAGCCTTGGCTCAGAGGCCAGCTCTCAGTTTCCTGTCACTTCTCAGAGCCAGATGTCCTTTCACTA